CCTTTTAGCTATAACAGCTTCAACTCTTCTTAGAAGGCTGTCCACAAGGTTTAGGAGTGTGTCTATGGGAATGTCTGACCATTCTTCCAGAAGTGCATTTGTGAGGTCAGGCACTGATGTCAGACGAGAAGGCCTGGCTCGCAGTCCCTGCTCTAATTCATCCCAAAGGTGTTCTATTGGGTTGAAGTCAGGACTCTGTGCAGGACAGTCAGGTTCCTCCACCCCAAACTCACTCATCAATATCTTTATGGACCTTGCTTTGTGCACTGGTGCACAGTAATGTTGGAACAGGAAAATGCCATCCCCAAACTGTTCCCACAAAGTTGGGAGCATGAAATTGTCCAAAATGTCTTGGTATGAGTTCCCTTTGCTGGAAAGGGGCCAAGCTCAACCATTGAAAAACAACCCCACACAATAATCCTCCCTCCACCAAACCTTACACTTGGCACAATGCAGTGAGGCAAGTACCATTCTCCTGGCAACCGCCAAACCCAAACACGTCCATCGGATTTCCAGACAAAGAATCGTGATTCATCACTCCAGAGAACACGTCTTAACTGCTCTAGATTCCAGTGGCAGAGTGCTTTACACCACTGCATCTGACTCTTTGCATTGCACTTGGTGATGTAAAGCTTGGATGCAGCTATGGAAACCCATTCCATGAAGCTCTCTATGCACTGTTGTCATGCTAATCTGAAGGTCACAAGAAGTTTGGAGGTTTTTAGCTATTGACTCTGCAGACAGCTGGCAACTTCTGCGCACTGTACGCTTTAGCATGCGCTGACCCCGCTCTGTCATTTTACGTAGCCTACCGCTTTGTCGCTGAGTTGCTGTTGTTCCCAGTTGCTTTCACTTTGTTATAATACCACTAACAGTTGACCATGGAATATTTAGTAGCAAGGAAATTTCACAGATGGCCTTATTACACAAGTGGTAACAGCACCACGCTTGAATTCACTGAGCTCTTGAGAGCGACCCATTCTTTCACAAATGTTTGTAGAAGTAGTCTGCATGCCTAGGTGCTTGATTTTATACACCTGTGGCCATAGAGGTGATTGGAACACCTGAATCCAATGATTTGGAGGGGTGTCCCACTACGTTTGGCACTATAGTGCAGCAACATAACAATGCATAGCCTATTTAAGGATAAAATACCAAATAGGGCTTTTGCTGCAATATTCACCTTCAGTCCAGAGATTTCCCTTGTGGTATATATTTCTGTTATTAGATATCCTCAGACTGATAGCTAGCATCAATCAATCCACTTCTTCTGAGTCCATGTTGTCTTGGACCCACTTCAGCCTGTGGACAGTAAAAAGGAAAAGCACCACAGTGAGCAGCTCATCTCTCTGTCACTCAGCTTTCTTTCTCCTACCTCAGCATACTTACTGTCAGCAGATGAACTGACTACTTGTACTGCTTCTTCCTCTCACACTCCACACTTGCTATACAAAGACTACAAGAGACTGTTGCCAGGACAAATTCAGGTACTTACACTGCTAACATTAAATACACATTTATTGATGTATTATTGATTACAGAGCTGCATCCTTTACATGGGTCTTTTATATCTGCTTCAAGTTCAGCTTTTTATGTTACCTCAAAGTGCCTCTAAAGCCAAAACATTATTTACTAGTTATGAGTAGAGTAAGGAATAGTCAAAACTCTGGTCAATTTTATTTTTTGCTGTTTGTTTATTATTGGTAAGATGTAGTTTATTTCTTGTCCCCATAGACACAATAGCAAGTGAGGGTAAATATTCTTCCAAAAAGAGGGGAAATCCCTTCTTAGACAGTTGTTACCAAAACATGTGTTCCCATTTGAAGATTTCTTCTCACCTTCACTTAAGGCCCCTTTCACACTGATGGACCATAGCTCTCTATTGAGCAGCGGATATCAGCAGACATGTGTCCGTTGACACCCAAAAGGCATCCGATCCAATCCTGTCCGCTAAAAACGGATGGATGGGGATCCATTCCCCATCCGTTTGGTGGATTGGATGACAGGCAGATGGAAATGGACAGGCATTTCAGTTCCAACAGTAAGTCCATTTCCATCCTGAGCATTAGGATTTCCCTTGTGTACCCGCAGGAGCAGGCAGGAGAGCCAGCCAGAGCTGCGGAAGGGTTGCCTGGGCACACAGTGGGGAATCAGATATGGGCAGGATAGGAAAGATGGCAGGGGAAAGGGGGGGTGGGCAATTGCAGAATGATGCCCTGTGTGTGTGTCTCCCTGCAGCAGTTGAAGGCCACGGGAGAGAGAGGGGGAGAAACCAGCTTTCAGCTGCTGCAGGGAAAGATACACAGAATCGTTCTGTAATAGCCCCCCTTCCTCACCGCACCAATTCCCCCTGCCATCCGGGTAGTGCCTGATCAGTCCATCCCTGGTACACTGAATATATATATATATATAAAACACTGATCTCTATGCATTGTGTGCTATTACCTTTATATAACACTGATATCTGTACACCAGGGGCGGACTGACAACTCATGGGGCCCCCGGGCAATAGGGATCATGGGGCCCCTGTGTCCTTGCCCAAACTCAAAAAAACCTTTGAAAAAAAAAAGGTACCAGGGGCATCTCATGGGGCCCCCTACTGACCCCGGGCCCTCGGGCAGTGCCTGAATTTCCAAATGGTCAGTCTGCCCCTGCTGTACACTGATTGGCACTCAGTGTATGGATATCAATTTTATAAATAGGTAATAGCACTCAGTGTATAGAGATCAGTGTTATTATACATAAGGAACAACACCTAGTGTATGAGCACAGTCACTGTCATACTTGCTACTGTACACTGTCTGACATAGTGTGTATGCTGTGCTCTATTCTAAGTTGCTGGTGGCCTGGCAATCACTGACCTGCACACAAGGTAGGTTACTTGGAGACTCTACCACCTCTGGTTCTCTTCAGCATTGGCCTTCTGTCCCCCACGGTAGGGATGTGAACTGTGGCCGGCCCCTCCATGGACCTCCCAAGGTGGAGAAGTGGCCGGAGGAGCTGCCAGCAGGAATCCCTCCTCTCCCAGAGCTACATCAACCGCTGACAGAAACCGAGCATTATGGTTGACTGCCTCCTACCGTCTTTAACTTCCTCTTCATTGAACACCTCTAAGGGGGCTCCCCACTGACCCTGGACCCTCTGGCAGTGCCAGAGTGCCTAAATGGTCAGTCTGCCCCTTCCTAGTTGATGTCCTCACCTGTATGGCGGGTGTCACCCGGGTGTGGTCCGCACCCCCATAACAATGCCACTGTACACTTCTGGGAGCAGCAAAAACAAGACCACAGCTATGAAATGAAGAGATTAACTATATTGGGAACATATATTAAAATGTAAGTTTGTGTTTCTGATAATTTAGGCACTTTAGTTTAGGCCAGCAGAGAAGGCCTTGCTAGCCCTGACGGCCACCACTGGTATGTACTATTGGCAGAATATGAGGGCAGTGATTTATGTGCACTACAATTTGGCTGGAAGGAGAGGCGGGGATTACTGGAAAGGGGTTGCCTAACAGTTCAAATATGAAAAGATTGCACATCAGAAAAGTCTGAACGAAAAATATGTCTATTCAATACGTTACTGAATAGTGCACTGGAATTTTGAACTTTGCCATAATTGTATGAAAAATCATGCTTTTCATGTAATGCTGTTTTTACTGATAAAACTTGTTTTATTTGGTGAAACGGGAAGACTGTGCGTGTAATATATCATTTTTTAAACCACCAAGAAACATAACTACCCACTCTATTCATGCTGAATTATGTGTAATAATCAGTTACAGGACTGCTGAGCTCAGAAGAATAGGGATCATTTAACAAAAGAGAGTTCAATCCCACTTATTGTACTATTGTTACCTTACTTTTATAGTGCCTAGTTACTTTTATAGTGCCCCATTGTCCCTAACTAGTGGGCTCACAGCTTCTCCTCCTCCTCAGCATATTAGAGGTGTACAGGTCTGAAGGGAGAAAAAAATTAGATTACATCATGCAAAAGGAGCTTCAACTATTCTGCTGTATGTAAAGTGTAAGCTACTGTCACCATACATACAATGGATTACATACAATGGATGGAGTGGATGCAGACACAACATTTTTGAGAGTGACAGGTCTTGGACTGCACATGATTTGTGCAGCAAAGTCAAATGAAGTTGTACAAGCACATTGCTTCTTAAATTATATGGTTTAAACACATTCTTATTTTAAAATGATATCCTGGTTTTCTCCTGGAATTCGTAATTAAATGGGGTCTGTACAATTCACATAAATCATAAGACCCCCTACATGATCTTCAAGACTGGGAAGGCTGGCAAAAAGCATAGAAAAGGCCTCATGCACAAAGGAACGATTACACATCCAACCCCACTGCAAGAACCCTGCTGTCAAGGAAGGCTTGCCCATAGTCCAGATGAAGGTTCTCGGTGCATAAATATGATCATGTGCAGACCGGAAACTTGCCAGGCAAATGTGCATGGTCGCATGCGCACTCGCACACACCTATCACTAATGCTGGAGCCAAATGGGCTATTTAACCATTAGCCGCCCTGACCAGGCCATTTTTTTGCGATACAGCGCTGGATTTCTTTAACTAACAGACAAATGAAACCAGAGCTCGAATCTTCATGGAAACTAGGATAACTTTAAACGTCAAATGTTGAGGTGCAGCCCTTAGAAGATTGGGAAATCTTGGTACTAGTGAACAAAAGCAAAACAGGTCACATTCTCATCGGTCATTACCGTGGTAAAACAATTGCGTGGTCATGCAACACTGTACATAAATGAAATGTATGTCCTTTTTTTCCCACAAATAGACCTTTCTTTTGGTGGTATTTGATCACCTCTGCGGTTTTTACTTTTTACATTATAAAACAAAAAATACCAACAATTTTGCAAAAAAAATCAATATTGTTTATTTTCTACTATAAAACATATCCAAGAAAAAATTAAAAAATTAAATTTCTTCATAAATTTAGGTCAAATTGTATTCTGCTACATATTTTTGGTAAAAAAAATCCCAATAAGTGTATATTGATTAATCTATGCAAAATTTATATCATCTACAAACTATGGGACATATACTGGAATTTATTTATTTAATGCACTAGTAATGGCGGCGATCAAGGACTGCAATATTGCGATGGACATTTTTACACTAACTGACACTTTGTGGGATCCAGTGACACTACTACAGTCATCAGTACTAAAAATATGCACTCATCACTTTACTAATGACACTGATTGGGAAGGGGTTAACATTTAGGGCAATCAAAGGGTTAAATGTGTGCCTAGTGTACACTAGGTGGTGCTTGTACGAGGGGGGAGTGAAGAATTGTGTTCTTAGATTGGCAGCTGCTATAGGGCGGTCTTCAAGTTGTTAAAATGTTAATGTACTTTCAAATATTTCAATATTTTTAAATCTGCAGATTTCTCCTAATTTCATATCTGCATTGTCATATGAGCTTCTGCTAAAGTTTATAAGTGGTTATTTCAACACACATCACACAGGCATGGTCTACTGTTGTCATGAGGAACCCATTCTAAGAAGTGCCATGCAGGTATTGCTGGAGTGCATGTAGGCAGGAAATGGTTTCATAGAGGCTGCTGGAGATTAGCAACACTGAGACGCAACAAGGGAAAAAAAAGGGGAAAGTAATATTTCATTTTTTTAAAAAAATTACCATTGTATGATACACGGTGCTCTGGTAAACTAAAGGTTGCATTTATAACTCAGCAGGGTGGCATTACAATGGCCTTACTGTTTCTGTAAAATTTCTATACCAAGAGCGGTAACCCCGAGCTACACTCGGGCTTACCATGCGGCGCTGCTCTGGGGGTCCCTGCAGCACTTACCTTGTCCTTCGCTCCCGCGATGTGTCCCCTGCAGCATCCCCGGCCATCTCCTCCGGCTGATGCCGGCATCCGGCTTCTGTGTTCCGGTCCCTGTGACGTCGGGACGTACGGGCGTACGGCGGGAAATTTGAAATTTTTTAAAAATGTCATTTTTGCTGTCATTGCTGTTTCAATGCATTTCACATACATTTTGTCCGTACTGCTTTGTCCTGTCCCCTGCCTGCATTTTGAATGTTCTTTTTGCCTGGAAACTTAAAAAAGTCCATGGCATCCAAAAAGCGTCCCTTTACATCAAAAGCGGTTTTAGAACAGCGATAGTAAATCAGAACCACTTGCAGAATTGAGTGATAATGATTCGTGGGGAAATTCGTCATCAGACACTGAAAACGATTTTGCGACTTTGCTCAGCGATATGCGAATTTGCCTCCGTATTTCAAATTTCAGTGTTTTTGGTTTGATTATATTATTGAATTAAAATTTATTATTATTATATTATTATTTTTTATGATTATTTATTAAATTATAATTTATGATTTCGTGTTTCAAATTTTATCATATCCGGAATGTTTAATAGACTCTTGTTCGGACAGATTTCAGTGAGTTATTCCTAAAAATTACAGCCTACAATAAAAAACTACATATTTCCATGCAAAAAAAAGGTACCGCTTTCAGCCAAAAAAATCGGAAAGAATCATACCACCAAGGAGGTTAAAAAATGTGACCAGCCTCTCATCCAGTCACAGAGTTTTCTTGCATTTCTTGCATTTTATGAATGGGCTGTAAAATGCAGGCTGCATTGTGGGGTAACTCTGTGGTATATAGCAGAGATCGAGTAGTGCTTTCCACTCTCTGCTCTAAATACTCTGAAAGTCATTCAGTTGGGGTTTACTTTTATTTTAGGTTGCATGACTAAGCTGTTCTTATATTGTCACTTCTGTTGTTAATAAAAACATAATAAATTCACCTTGGGTGTTAAACTGATAAGGCTACACCTGTTTATAGCCAAATAAACCCTTGTTTATAGACAAGTCAGCACTACCAGGGTGGTCTGATTTCTAAAGGTGACCATGCACAAGAAAACCCTGTAGGGGAAATACATTTAGTGATATGGATGAAAATGCCCCATGCCCAGAAAATCCAGCTTACACATAATTAGCCTTAAAACTGTCCCCTCCCCCTCCTAACACCTATGCTAATGTAGACCTCTTTTTTGGGGGGGTTATAATAAATACCCTTCCCCAAACAGGTTATTGCGCTAAACCTGTAGAAAAACAAGAAAACCAGAACCTTCGCTGAATGCAAGGGTGGGTTTGTTAATAAAGCTGGCTGAGCCTTCATTCAGGATGGGGGCCTCTGTGAACAGAGAGGATTCCCTTCCCAGGAAATGAACCAGTAATCTAATCAAAGCAATTGGGCGCAGAGGAACTACTGCAACCAGCATACAGCAATAACCATGAGAATATAGATACACACCAATAGGAAAGTAAGAGAAACTTTATATAAGAAAAGATTAACCAGTTCTGCACCGCCCTATAGCAGAAATACTGCTACAGGGTGGCACAGGTGCGCACAATCACACATATATATTTATATATGTGATGTTGCAGTTCCAGGTAGGGGGATCGAGCACCCTACCCACGCTGCCATTCGTCGCCTTGGCTGTCAATCACCAAGTCCCGGCCAATGCTTACTGATTACTCGCCGGAACCCAGCGATCGCCGAGTATCTCCAACGGGAGAGAAACCTGTATGTAAACAATACAGATCTCTCCCCTGTCAGCTCCTGCACGCCGCTTTGTAAGGCTCTGCTATGCAAAGCCATACAAAGCAGTGTGCTTACAGTGAAGCACACACAGCCCCTATAGCGAAACGGCACACAGCACACAGTTAACTCCAGATCGCCCCAGATGTTAACCCCTTCCTGCCCAGTGCCATTAGTACAGTGTCAGTGCTTTTTATTAGCACTGATCACTGTATTGGTGTCACTGGGGATGTCAGTGATACCAAGTCAGTTCCCCCCAGAGTCAGAATGCCCGGCGCAGTCCCACTATAGTTCACTGACTGTCACCATTACTATTAAAAAATAAAAAAAAAATAAAAACAGTATACATACCGCCATTTGTAAACACTATATCTTTCATGTAAACCAATTAATTTACACGTATTAGGATTTTTTTAGGAAAGACATGTAGCAGAATACATTTTGGCCTACAGTTATGAAGAAATTTGATTTTTACATTTTTTTTACTGGACATGTTTAACAGCAAAAAGTCAAAAATATAGTTTTTTTTTCTCAAAATTGTGGGTCTTTTTTTATTTATAGCAAAAAAAATAAAAAACTCAGAGGCAATAAAATAAAAGGACGTAAGTTGCATTTGGGTGCAGCATTGCATGACCGTGTAATTGTCAGTTAAAGTAACGCAGCACCGTATCACAAAAAATGGCCTGGTCAGGAAGGGGGGTAAATCCTTTGGGGGGTAAGTGGTTAATAATAGTACATACAGTATATCCAATGTGAAAACATGTATTATCAGCAAAGGGCCTGATAGGAGTCCCAGCGGAATTGTGCACATGCTGTATACCCAGATATATAGTATACAATTGTTAATAGAGATACCTCCATAAAAACGGAGGTGAATGTTGCAGCAAAGTCCAGTTGCAGGAGCCCCTGAGGATGATCAGGATGTGCCATTCATCTTGGTGTTGGAGACCTGAAGACAAGGTCTGCGGTGATGAGGAGACACTCCAGCCATTGTCCAACCAGCCTGGAATGTAGATTGTCAAAACAGAAACCATAGTGTGTCATTGGAACTCAAAGGCAGCCTATCCACTCCCTAGTAGCTTCTAACCTGTCATGCAACCGTACCTCTAACTACCAAAAATGGTCATTGGATGCCTAACCTTGCTCTACCTTATGTTGGGTATTGAGCCTTGAGCTAAAATTAGCTATAGAACTCCAGACCAGAATGGGCAGGGTTAAAATAAACAGGAGCTACATATAAACTCTATTTTAATAAAGAGATTCACCTACTAATATACTGGAAGATGACTACTACGCACATACATTAGCACAGACCTAGTAATCTGACACTGTGCATGTGAGATGTCTGTCACAAGGATTCAGATACACACTCAAGAAGACATAAGCAGCTAAACTTAAACTATTAAAACAAAGATATACTTGCATAATAGTCTCTGCTTCTGGTCTGAGTGAAATACAACAGCAGCAACAGCTCCTGTGTGTAAAGTCATGTGGCCCAGTTTTCTCTCTGCACTTCTCCCCTCAAGGTTTTTTTAACTCAGCCCTAGAGACAGAAAGTAATTCAGATAAACAACTCACAACACATCAATGTATAAATACAGACAGTACATGGCAGCAGATGCTCACACTAGATAACCTGTGTAAGAAAGATATACACGCCTATTTTCAGGCCCCTCTGGTTTGGTCACGTGATCCGGATCTCCTGTGTCCACCAGCATGGCTGCAGGGGAAAGGAGGGAGAACTGACAGTGGATGGACCATTGAAACCTATGGGTGATGTCACTGCTCCAGACCTTACTATCCCCTCTTCCCACAATCGCCACTGGCTGACACAGGGGAGATCATGTGACCGGACTAGAGGGGCCTGAAAATAGTTATTATTAAATCTTATCTTATTAAATTTTTCTTACATGGGTTAGTTAGCATAGGTGTTATAAGGGGGAGGGGACAGTTTTCAGGCTAGTGAGGTATAAACTGGAATTCCAATTTAATGTTAAAGGAATGGCACTCTTTTGGAATTAACCATTGACCTCTGTCAGTATTTTATTCCTCAAAGATCTGATTTTCAACTGCTCCTACATGATATATACCTTTTGTCAGGCAGCATTATATTAAATCTGTATTAGATTAAGAAAACACTCTTCATTCCAGTTGTTTATTATCTCTTTATAAATCTTGGATTTCTTTATATAAGTCTAATGCAATTATGGAACAAATTTGGATGAATGCTGAGCATATATTTCACAAACTGCCAATAATTTGTGGTAAAAGACAAAGCAAGAAGCCAAATTTCTAAAGAGATCCTAAATTTCACACCCAGGCCTGGCCATTATAGCCTTCTTCCTCTCATCTAGACAGCTGATATTACTGATGTGGTATTAGCATGGCTAACAGAACGTCAAGCCAGCTTGGCATGGTTTGTTTCAACATGGCCACAGTCCTAGGAATCACTG